GTTTATATTTTTATCGTCGAGTTTTATTTTTCGTTTAATTAAGTCTAAAAATAGTTCTTTTTAGAACTAAATTGTATTATCAAATTTCAACTTAGTATATTATATACTTATATATTAGTTTTGTGGTTTGCAAGAGATATTTGTATATTTGCATAGTATAAAAAATTTAGTATTTGTGGTTAAACTGATTTAGATTATCAAAAATTAGATATAATTTCACAAAATACTGCCAGATATGTGTGTGGATATTATATTAAAAAGTGTTTGGAGGTACATACATGTTCAACTTGTTCAAATTTTGGGAAAACTGTTACTGAATTAGATGATTCTAATTTATATTGTTTTTTTAAAGCATATGATACTGATGCCCTCGATATGTTTGGTAGTCTTCAAATGCCGGATAATATTTTTTTAGAATATATAATTCAACTGGACAAAATATTTGAACAACATTTTGAACACATAATAATCAAAAGTGGTGTCATAAAGAATTTTATTACTCTGTATGAAAGTGTAGGTAATATTCGTACATCCTTGTAATAATTTTCCATATAAATATTTTTTAAATTTGTATGCTAGAGTAAGGTTGTATTACACATTAAAATTTATTAATCAAAATTTCAAATGCCAAAAAAATATTTCAAATAAATCTATAAAAAATAAATTAATTGTTTGGAGCAATAAATAACTTTTTTTTACTGCTAACATGAAAAATTACTATTATTTATTTGATTAGTACAAGAAGTAAATTTTCTCTCTGTAGGAAAACAGTATTACTTTTTTACCTAGGTAAATAATGAAAAATAAGTGTTAGTACAGTGCCATATAGTTGTTTTGATTTGTTGATTTACTTACTTCTAATAAAAGATTTTTTGCCGACACTGTTCACAATAGTGAAGTAAATATTCCCGTAGAGAACTCAATTATAATTTTAAACAAATTTCCACGTTACAAGTCTGGTTAAATACCTGTGTATGTTCCAAATATTACTAATAATAGTTTTTTTTTAATTGTTTGTCTTTCAAGTTTTTGTTTTGTTTAGAATAAATTAAGCTTACATTAATAATGAGCTAATATATAAATGTTAGTAGCAAAAAAATACTATACAGTTGTGGTAATCTGAAAACTGTATATAGCACACATAATTAGTACGAAAAGAACAGTATGAGGTTGTTCTACTAGCTGAGAGCTTGTTTTTAACACCCATTAGATTGAATTGTAGTTTTGTTAAAGTGATATTTAGTTTTGATAAGGGAAACATCAAATATATGTCTATTTTTTCATTAGTAATGAAATCACAATCAATCTTGGTTTTATCACAACACATTCTCGAGATATTTCGATACCCACATATAGAATTTTATATCTTACTTTTGTTTGTGACATCCTGTCTTATGCTTCTATAGAATGGTCACCATACTATTTTAACCATATTTACACCCTCGAAAAAATTCAAAATAAGTTACATGTCTTTGGTTGAACTAAGGTCAAGGCTAAATATCAGTTCCTTAGAAAATTATAGAACTAAATATGATCTACTTTTTCTCTATAAACTACTTAACCATGCAACTGACTGTTCTGATTTATTAGGTCCTGTCAACTTTAGATGTAGCACTAGAATTCTTAGAGAAATGCCTTTGTTCTGTATAAAACACTATCACACTAACTATGGCAAACTCCCCTATCAGAATTCAGATACCGGGAAATGACTTTAGTCAATCTTGTGATTTCATTTCATTTTTATAAAAACTTGATGATATTAATTTCATTTTAAAATGATTTTCATAAAAATTTAATTTATGTAATTTAATAATTGTTTAACAATATTTAATAATTATTTAATATTTAGTTTTAGTATTTATGTTATGGTTAGGATATTTTATGTAGTTAATTGTTTTGTAAAAAATGGAAACATCCCGTTAATAAATAAATACATAATAATTCTGGTTTTATTCGCAAAAAGATAAAGGAATTGATATTTCCAGTTAGGGAAATGGTAACCTTTACAACTGAACATTAAATTCAAATTATTAAATGATATTATTCTGGAAGTAGGGCCAACGATGTAATCGCTACGTTTTCATTTTCATTCGAACGCCCTGTACCATCAAAATCTGCAATTCACATTATTTTTAAATTTGAAAATTAACCAGCTCGTGCAATTAATGAAGAACAGGAACAGCCTAAAACTGCCGTAAGTAGTCTAATTGAAATCAATTTTCCTTGTAACAGCACGTTCTAATTTCAAAAGAAACTGGTATTACTGCTAGAACTGTATGAAATACTTTAAAAAGAAGCAAGTACCATTGCTACTAAAAAAAATCTTAAGAACACAACCATTCTACTAGAAACTGTAGTAAATGCAATTTAAAAAGGCAGGTAAAAAACTTATAATAACAAAGATGGCCTCTGGCTGTCTTTTATGTTATTTAACATATAACAAGAAAAAATGAATATGTTCTTTATAAAAGCGCAAATAGTCAATGTTCTTTGTCCCAAAAACATTTCACGATATTACTCGGTTAAAGTCTTTTGAATGAACATCTGAAAAGAAGAAAATATATGAAACAGCTCACTAATAATGATTTAACAACCACAATCATAAAAATTCTTGGAACACATCAAAACAAGAGTTCAAGAAACCCAACTGAGGAACTTTCAAATCGAAAACCTGCTAAGCAAACAAGACGTCATTTTTGTCCGAAACATACAGACATGAAATGATGTGATGACTGTAAGAGAGCAAGTTGTAAGGAACGTAGTGTCACCCTAAACTTTTGTCAAGATTGTTTTAGAAATTAAGAGATAATATATATATATATATATATATATATATATATATATATATATATATATATATATATATATATATATATATGTACGTATTCACTCCCTCTTATTTTTTCCGATATTATTTTTACTTGTTAAAGTTTTTTGTAAGTTTACTTTTGTTAAATTATTGCTGTAGAAGTTAACAGTAAGTCTATTTAAGTTAGTTTACACACAAGTAGAAAAGTTTTATTTTTATATAAAATAAATAAAACATTTTGATAATAATTAAATTAATATATTGTAGATTGTAATTAATTTAAATTAACTTGTTTACTAACTTTAAAATAATATACCTAAACACGTCTCTGTTCTAATCACTTGTGCCAGTCCGTAACTGATCTGGTCTGTTTTCAATATGGCGTCTGGTTACTTTTATACTTCAAAGGCGCCGACTAAGAGTGTCCTAACTGTTTGTGGTTAAACTGTGTTAATACTGTTATTGCAGTTGATAAGCTGTCAAGTATAGTGAGTATGATAAAGATTTGATAAACTAATGACAAAATAGTTTAAAATATAGAAAAAATTAACGACATAAACAATTAGAACAAATAGCTTATAAATAATTTAAATTATCATCTTTGAAAACGGTTTGAAGTACATTTTTCTATTGTCTAAAGAGGGATCGTAGACGATGAGAGGGAGAAAAATAATATATAAAGAAGAAGTTGTCAAGGCAATAAAAATATTAAAAAACAACAAATCCCCTGGAGAAGATGGTATACTCCCTAAGCTGTTCAAGTATGGAACAGACGCGCTAAAAAAATACATAATAAAACGACACGGAATAGGACGTTTAAAAATGATCGGTGAAAAACTATCCAATGATGAACACGCTGTCGGACAATTCCAACTAAAGGTACAGAAAGTTATTAGAGAAAAAAAAAATTAACAGCGGAACAAGTGTACAATGCTGACGAATCTGGTTTGTACTGGCGATTATTACCCGATCATACTTTAGCCTCTGCCAATGAGAAGTCGGCTTCCGAAAGGAAAATGATGAAGATGAGAGTGACATTCATGCCTTGTGCAAATGCGGCTAGAACCCATAAACTTCAATTGCTTGTTGTCGGAAAATCAAAAAGCTCACGGGCATTTAATCAATACGTCTTCCTGTTTGTTATCGTGCACAAAAAAATGCTTGGGTTACGAAAAGCTTCTTGTTTCTTGAGTGGTTTAAAACGGAATTTGTTCCCGCGGTTCGTCGCCATCTTTTGTCTCTTAATTTGCCTCGTCGGGCACTTTTATTGTTAGATAATTGTCCTGGCTATCCATCAGCAGATGAGCTTATCTCTGAAGACGACAACATTTTTGCAATGCTCCTGCCAGATAACACCACAGCTTGTATAAAACCAATGAATCAGAACGTTATACAAAATATGTTCTGACAACCTTATCGACGCATTACATCGATATCTTTAAAGGGCATTGTTTTTTTTTTTTGGCTAATTGCTGGGCCGATGTTAATTAACAAATCATGGAAGAATTTTCACCCTGAATTTCTCACTGATAATGATGAACCAGAAGATGATGTTCCCTTAACCCAAATTTTTAATAGGCAGAAGTTCAATAATGGGCTGCTGGTGGTGCCGAAAGTGAAATACAAAGATATGAAATGTTAACTGATGAAGAGATTGTGCGAGCGGCTATGTGTGAGGACGATGAGAAAGATGAGGGCAATAGCGTTGAAGTACTCGCCCCTGAAAAAGTTGGTAGCTCAGAGGCAGTGGGAACTTTCAACAGAGCTTTAAAATGGGCTGATGACAAAGAATTTGATAGCCACGAAGTAATGTTTCTCCGTTGTATTAGAGATGGGGCTTTTGAAATAAACTGCGCGAATTATAAAAGATTTTGTCAACAAAAATTAACTAATGTTTTCCTTACATGGTTGTAATTTTGAATATTTGCATTTTTTTTTCTTTATACTGTAATTGAATAATCGATTAAAGAAACCAATGTTAAACATATGTTTTACTACCATTAAATATGGCATATTACAATTCGGATGCCACGATAATCCGCAAAGGGTCTTGTTTTTGCCTCTCCGGATTAACGAGGCCCTACTGTAATTTTATTTAGAATACAGTGTTTACCAATATTAATTTTACTATTACAATATATGGGTGTAGCCCTTTTTTTCCAATATGTAACTTCCTTTTTCTTTATTCTAGGTATGTACGAAAGTTACGTTCCCATGACAGTTCAAAGTTCTGACGACGGTTATGTGGATATGGTACCACGTTACCGGCATGAGATCCATTCTCCTACTGCAAGTGTCAGTAGTGTAGTATCTGGTACACCATCTACCGATATTCGCTTTTCTGACTATCCACTCGATAAAGTTGCATCCTATCTCACTTCCGAAGAAGACGGAACTCGAACTGCCAGGGCCTATTCCTGCGGATCCAAACCGGAAACGCTTAAAGGGAAGAAACACGCTGAAATATCAGGTAAGTCTTATATCAGAAAAGCTTCATCATTCTTTCTATCATTTTTTCCATACAGATTCGCTTTTCTAGATAATATTTCATTTCTTAATGTTTCTGTCTTGGAAATATCAATATTATTATCCTTCGTTCGAGCAAGTGTCCCAAATCCAACCAGTTCAACAACTCTTCATGTTAAGTTATTCTCCTCTACACTGAATATTCCCAGTTATATATTCTCTGATATCTCATTTTTGCGCTAAACTGGTTTTCGATTCATATTATTAATTTTTAATTGTAGCTTTACTGTATTCATTCAATTCAACTGTCTCATTCGTTGAGCTTTCTTTTTAAATACTAAACATGCAATACCATATTATATCGTGCTTGATCTTTTTCATTATTAGTATCTTTTCCTACCACCTACTGCTCCCATCTGATCATTTATTTATTGCAGCACGTATATAAAAATGTTACTTCTTAAAATCACTTCACCATCCAAAGTTACTATTTTATTTCGATTGGCAACACCATCTTCAAACTTCTGATATTCTAGCCTTGTGACCGTTAATTTCTCACGTCTATATTGCCCTACTTTCTCATTTCATCATGTTTTACCGTAATACTTTATTGGAAATTGTACATATTTATTTTCTTAGCAGATAGTGCCAGAGTTAGAGCTTTTAGTGTTGGTTCTAAGACTAAGAAAGGGCCTAGCAGGATTTTATCGCATCAGCATCACGCTAGTCTTAAGTCCATTAGTGCGCCGATTTTAAGCAACTCGAGGAGTCAAAGCTCCCATAGCTCTAATGATCCCATGGACGATCTAATGGAAATGGATTTCTCTAAAGCTTCCAACAATAACAATTCAGGTAATTGATCACCGATGTTGTTCATACTGCGCGTGTTAGCCCACACTATTTTCTAAACTATAAAATATAAATTAACACATTTTTGGGTAACCGAACTAAAACCAACAAAAAAATAGTTTTTATGATGCATACTGACGAAATCAACAAAAATGGAGGACTGGCGCCAATTTATAAGACAGTTTTAAACGTATAATAAATCATTTGAACGCTCTTGTGTAACTCAGGTTCCTTGATTTTTGTGTGATTTCGACATACCGTTGTAAAATGGCAACCGATAAGCTGGTTAGACCGAATAACATATGAGGTAGTTTTATACCGAATGAAAAAAAAAACACCAAAAATATCTAAAATGATAAAGATTCGAAGGCTGGAAAATTTCGGGGATGTGAAGAGACAACCAGAGAAGTATATTCTTCTCATAATACAGGGCAAGATCGCCGGAAGAAGGAACTCGAAGACATTTTACGCGATTCTGTTACGCCGTTTTAAAATGGCGAGCGTTGAAGGATACAAATTATGTATTACTTGCCATATAACATCCTTTCAAATAATTTTACAAAATGGCGCCCATCCACCATTTTTCATTATTACGTCATTAAAACATATTAAAAACTATGAGCAACTGTCGCAGATCCGTTATCCAAAATTTAAGCTTTATAGTTCAGAAAATAGCTGGGGCAGATCTTTAGACGCTGCTGTCTATATAATCTAACAATATTCTACAATAATTTGGTAAAATATCTTATTTTTTAATCGTAATACACTGCACCCCAAAATTAACGCATAATTTTAAAAACCCTGGTAAATTAAATAATTTTAATGTTTCGATTTTTGTGCTAATATATTATCGTTACCCCCGATATATTGTAAAATTTATCGAAAGAACGGTAAAAAACGCTGATGTTTTTATAATTTTTTTTGCAAAAGATTAAAAACATGCTAATTGTGCTTCATTTTATTTCAAATTTAGTTGGGTTGGATTTCGTTGTGCTGAACGTTTAAAGGGGTTTTCAAGTTTATTAAGTATTTTTTCTTTGAAATGAACCACCCACAGCAAGAAAATCGAAATTTGTCAGAAAGTGACTGTTTTAGAATCGTTACTCTTCGCGAAGAAGGATACACTCAAGTAGAACTCGCTGGACGTTTTAACGTCACCCAGTCAACAATTTAAGAGTGTTAACACGTTTTTCTGTTACTGGAAGTAACTCAAGAAGACCCGGTCAAGGCCGTAAAAGGGTTACAACTCCTAATCAAGACCGGTTTTTGACACTTTGTACACTGAGACAAAGGTTTGTTTCCAGTACTTCTCTACAAAATGAATTTTTGGATCGTTATAACTTTAGAATCAGCCAAAATACAATTAGAAGAAGACTTGCCGAAAACGACCTACACCCTGGAAGGGCACCAATTGGCCCATTATTGACCAGAGACCATAGAAGGCAAAGATTAAATTTTGCTCGTGAACATGTTGATTTGAATAATGACGATTGTGGAAGAATATTGTTCACCGATGAATCCAGGTACTGTCTTTTTTCTGATGACAGGAGAAACCGAGTGTATAGAAGGCCTGGGGAACGCTACGCACAGTGTAACACCGTATGGACTGTACAGTATGGCGGCGGCTCGGTAATGGTATGGGGTGGGATTAATTTAGAGGCTCGTACGGAATTAGTTAAAATAAATCACGGTCGGCTTACATCGCAGAGGTATATAACAGACATTTTAGAAGAGCATGTCGTGCCATTTGTACCATTTATTGGGGATAATTTCATGCTTATGCAAGATAATGCCAGGCCACACACGGCAAGAATTGTGCAGCAGTATCGTCAGGAGGTTGGAATTCCTGCCATGGATTGGCCTGCGAGAAGTCCTGGCCTTAACCCAATAGAACATGTTTGGGACATCATAGGCAGATGACTACGACAACTACCTAATGCACCAAACACATTAGATGAACTGTTTTTGGGGTTGGTTGAAATTTGGGATCAAATTGATCAAGAAGAAATCAGAACGATTATTCTCAGTATGAGAGATCGTTGTCAAGCAGTAATAATTGCCAGAGGAGGCAATACTCGATACTAGTACACGGTAGTAGTATTTTCTTCAACTTTAAAAACTTTTTCTTCATTAATTTATGATGTTAGTTTGTTTAGATCAGTTCGTTTAGATGTTATGATTTATGTTAGGATATTATATTGTTAATTTCAATACATTTTTTGTAAAAAAATAATAGTTTTATTTAAGATGTTCTAAAACAACCATAAAGCAGAAAAGAACAAACAAAATTTTTTTCATTACAACTCAAAATAAGAATTTTTAAATTATGCGTTAATTTTGGAGCGCAGTGTATTTAGAATATAATATATAAAAATATATTAGTAAACCAATACTTGCAAGAGTTAAATGACATGCCATTTTTTATTTCTCTAATTGTTAGAACTGCTATATAATCGAGACCTAGCGTGGAGGCTCAAAAGCACAAAACTTTTCAAACTCGTCAACATGTTTAAATGTCACTTTAAATTCTGGTAGTGAACCTAGCCACAATAGTGAAGTGTGCATCATGTGGACCATGTCACTAACGTTAAGGTCCTACAGCGCACGAGAAAAGAAAAAGAAGTGATTAATTTAGTGAAACAACGTAAACTTGAGTATCTCGAGAACGTGATGCGGAACGAAGAAAAATATCAAATTGTTCAACTCATTATGCAGGGTAAAGTATTTGTCAGGAGAGGAACGGGACGCCGTCGTATCTCGTGGTTGAAAAAACTCCGACAATGGTTTGGGCTGACCTCCGCGGAACTGTTTCGCAGAGCAGTCTTGGTGATCGCCAACATCCGGACCGGATAAGGCACTGAAGAAGAAGAAGAAACATCATCAAAAATTATTTGATTCTAATGTGAACCATTGGGAATACATAGGACAGATTAGGTTGAATATAAAGTTCTTGTTGAAGTGAATATTTCTTATCGCTTGATATGATGTTTTTGCACGGGACAGAAATAATATGTAGCGTGACACGAAATATCGAGACGAGTGCAGTAACCTTGCGGTATACAGAAATATTTATAATATACATACATATACATTTACTATAAAAATAAAATAACGTTTAATAAACTTTTTTACAATAACTCGAAAATTTCTGTGTCGATTTGGCTAATTTTGATTTTAAAATATTTGTATAAAATAAATTAAAAAAAAATAAAATTAATTAAAATAAAATAAAAAAAAAATAACCAAATATAAAATAAAAAAACAGCGCGTGACACTTAGGGAGTGCCCACAATAGTGAATATTGGTTTAATAAAATTTTATGTCTGCTTCATACTGAATTGTTAATATTTTTTTTTATAATAACACCACAAATTTAAGTTCTTTAAAACATAAAAAATATTTAAATTTTCAAAATTTTCTATCTTATATTTATATTGATATTATATTGATATTATGATATGTATTATATGAAATCTTGTATTTATATTTAATTACTTCATTTTTGTAATTTTTTTTATTATCATGGATTTAAAAAAATAAAAATCGTAAGGTGGCACTCTGGAAGTAACCAAGGAGGGGAAGCACAGCTTTTTATTGTCTACGAACGGAGCGATGGTTTTTTTATTTATTTGGTTTTATTTGATTTTTAGTTGAATTTGATTCGATTCGATTTTATTTAATTTTATTGTGTTTTATTCTTTATTTAATTTTATTTAATATTAATGTTTGATTGTATTTTATTTTGTTTTATTTGAATTTATTTTATTTTATACAAATATTTTAAAATACAAATTATCCAAATATATCCAGTCGTTCTCCAGTTGTTATAAAAAAGTTATAAAAAAATAAAATGACGTTTGTTCCTAGAGAAACTTTTAATACCTAAACCCTAAAATTTAATGCTTTTCATGTTACGTTCCATTCCTTCATAAAAAGTTTTCCAATATCGATTTCCAATACATTGCTTTGAAAGTAAATTATTATAATACATAACTATTGAAATAAATGTAGCTTTATCATGACTTTCCTTCTTTTTTAATTGTTTCATTTTCAAATTAATTCTTATAAAAATTCCACTTGTTTGTTAGTTGCATTTTTATTGTTTACCTTGCGAAAAAGTAAACATTATTAATAGACGTACGCAAGTAAATATTTGTTGAATCGTAGATAATAATTTTACATTAATTTATACATTATTTAAAAGATAACCGTAGTTATTCATAGAATACAAGGTAATAGAAAGCTAGCTATTAAAGAATTATCTAGAAAAGGTGGTTAATTGCAGGAAATGGTATCTTTTTACTTAGTTTCAGTTTATCATAAGAAATTGTTGTTCGCATATCTTAATAATTTGTTTATTGCGTTTTTATATATTTACAAACCTTTGACGCGTGAAAGCAATTTGTGTAAGATAGTCATTATTGACACCGATTCTTATACCCTCATGTAGTCGTTTGGTTGAAAAGTTGAGGCTTTTTAATATTAAGTAGGTTATAAATGATATCAATCGACACAATTCACATTTACAGTCGGAATTGTACAACTTAAAATTTGTAGCATCCAAAATATATAAAATAAACTTATATAGAATGTCGCCGTGACTGTAGCTCCGACCAACGGCTAAAATGTTGTGAGTTATCTTTATCAAATAATACAGATAAAAATATTATCTTTATCAGATCGGTACTCACGCAAGGTATCGCAGTCGTTTGGACATATGTAATAAGCCATTTTTTTTTAACCCTTTGCGGCCCACATTGTTTTTTTTTTCTTATTTTTCTAAAATAAAAAAATTTCGGAAACTTAATTAAATCAACACTTTCTCTGAAAATTTAAATTTAATCGTAACTAATATTACAAAAAAGTATGGTTTCACCGTGAAACCACTGGGACGCAAAAGTCACTTATTCAAGGGTATGGAATTTTTGGAAACAATTTTTATTGTCAGATTAGCGCATACCAATATCGCATGTTTGACAAAACCAACTAGTCTGATGAACCTTTGCGGTTGTACTACATAACATGATGAACATTGATGTTCCATGAAGAGGCAAATGAGCCACTCTATCGTATCTAATTTCAATAGGTACATATTTTTTGAAACTATTTACTGCATGTTTTGGTCCCTTTTTTGGGGTATCTGTATTAGCACCAATAAGACCTGTAACAACGGCTAATCGGAATTCTTCCAATGATAATGCACGTCCTGGACTTCTACATTTAAATATGATAAACTCATTAGTTACTGCTAAATCAAGTAAATGGAAAAAAATGCGATGCCACCATTTCTTATTTTTTCTATTTATTTCGTATAGACTCTTCAGCATATCTGCCTTATCTACCCCACCCATATGTTTGTTGTAGTCTTTTACAACTGTTGGTGCAGCCACAGTTTCTTTGGAACCATTCTTCTGTCTTCTTTTGACAGATACCATTTCAGTAGGATCATGAAAGTTGAACAAAAAATTGATCCCCTTCTGATCTTTCCACCTAGTGAAGACCATTTTATTGGAAGCCTGCTGTCAATATGTTTCTCCTCGGTCCATCAGTTTTTCGTCTACAATATCTTGTAGCAAATTAGCACAATCAGCTCTTACTGTACCACATGCGTAAAAATGTTCTCCAATAAATATTTTATAAGAGATACCGACGAAAAATAGTTGTCAAAATAAACCTTGTGTGACTTGTCAACAAGAGTTTCTGTGTGATCTTTCACATCAGTACTTTGCCAGTATATATTTGGAACTTGTGAACATAACTCTCTTTTGAGTGAAAGTTTGTACTCTCTTTTTATGGGTTTTTTGGGTATATACTGCTTCAAAGTGGAACGGTCCTTGAAACGAATCATAATTTCATCGATAGACTGATGCTCTCCTGACTTGTAGAACTGCTGAAAAGATTCCAGTAGCTCTTCTAAAATCAGACGTATTTTATAAAGTTTATCGTAATTAGGAGTTCCTCTATCGGGCTGAAGGGAATTATAATTCAATTGTATATGCCCAAGTAACCCCAACTAAACATGTTTCTTTTCATTATTTTCGAAATATAGTAATCTCTCAAAATATTCTGTGAAGACCAGTAATCTCTGTAGCTAGGTGATGACTTGATAGCCATAAGGATATCTTAAGCTTAACATTTAAAATTTCACGTTTAGATGATGGCTTTAACGGTTTATCTTCTTGGGTCGCATACAAATTCGTTTAAAACACTAAATGTTGCAGTACATTTTCATTCATCAAGAGCAAAAAAAAAATCATGAGGATATTCTATTGTACTCTCAATAGATGGTCCATGTTCTATATTCAAAGGAATAATAGTATTTGGAATAAATTGTTTATTCCAAATAAGCCCTGGATTTTTTTATATATTTTTTTTCTGTCATTTTACATGTTTTCTTAGTATTTTTAGCAGGTTCATCTACCGTCCGTTTTTCTTTCGGACTCCGTTTTTCTACTACCGTCTGTTTTTCTCGCTGAATATTTATTCGCCTATGCAGCAATGTTGGAATTTTAAAATAAAAATGGTATTTTAGGGATGCATTAAAACTTTTGGTCATGGCGATTTAGGTCAAATAGGGTCTACTTTGACAAAGAGGTATAAGGATGTATTAGAAAACCATATTTTTTGGTGCAGTGCCATAGCCGCAAATTTAAATAGTAAAAAGCTTTATCTCACAAATCTCGTCGAGCAGTCATTTTTGTAGAAGAAAATTATATAGAAATATTTGAATGGCCCTTATATTCGCCAGATATGTTAATTCTAAAGAAATTTTTAAGCACATTAATTCAAGTACTAGTGAAGCCACATTTTAATTTGACTTAGCTAAAATACTTCATTGACAGCATTGCTATTTTATATTACAGGTACTATAGATTCGGGCAACACAACTAGCACTACAAACAACGGTTATGTAGAAATGAAACCTGGCGTTGAAATTGCCCCATCTCACCAGTCAGAAGTTTCACCATATGTTGATATGTCGGGATCTTCTTACATGGATATGAGTGGTAGTTCTCCTTCCTCAAGACATGAAGACGAATGTAGTTCATTCGTAGATATTAACCGACAGTATCGACTGCCAGCAAATAACAATTACGTTGACATGGATGCGAGGTTGGTATATTTTCGTAAAATTATTATTGGGTAAAAAACGTTATGTGTCTAAACTTGCTCGTTGCAATTGTTTTAGGAAAAATAGAGCTAAACCATCAACGTCACCAGCTTGGAGTGCTGATTATTTCGATATGTCAGGAGGAACGAATCATTCTCGTCGATCTGAGCGTGGTTCCTCGTTTTCTTCACAACTATCGACATCCTCGTCACCTAGAAATAATGATTATCTCTCAATGAATTTCTCGCCCCAAGATCATCCTAAAACTCCTGAAGGGTATGTAGAAATGAGTATTGGTAAGAGACATCAGCGCCAGGGAAGTTTGGACGGAAATCAAATGAACGATGAATATTTAAATATGTCCATTGGGCCAAAGAAAAAAGTTACAAAAAATCAGATGGTGATGTCGTCGCCGATATCAATACACCCAACTACGACGTCACAAGCTACTAAACATTCATCAAGTCCCATCTCAATATCATCGTTGCTAAGCAGAAAATCTTCCACTGGTACGTCTCCCAAAATGCATCTCCCTATATCATCTTGGTCTTCTTCGTTACCGCGTAACAGATGTAGAAAAGATTCAAAAGATAGTTCCAGTTCAAGCGTTACCACTCCAAGTAGCTCGAGTATCATTTTTCCGATGAGTCCTAGTTCCCCTCTTAAGGTAAGTTATACTAAATATTACTATAATACTTAAGAACATTTAAACATTTAAAATCTATCTCTACCCGGTACTTTAAAACTAATTGACATATTCTTGTAGTGTAGGTACTGTACACCTTACTAAATTATGTTAAATAAACGTTTCTGGATACTACCAGAGGCGTCTGACAGGGGAAAGTGAATGGTTGGCCCTTCTCAAAGTCTTCGCCACTGGCCAATTCGGATTTTTTGTACGAATATACATAATCTCAAATATTTGCATTCAATATACATTTTGCGTATTTGCCTAAAGCTAATAATTACCTATCAAGTCATTTTATTCGAATAATTGGTAATTCCTTCATAAGAATGAGATTTTTGAGTATTCTCCCTTTTCAGTAGTTCCCACCCATTCTCAATGGTGTTCATATCAGACGAATTGCCTGGCCAGTCAAGAACTTTAATTTTGTTTTTGTTTTAAATAAGTTGAAATACTCTTAGCCTTGTGGCAAGGAGCACCATCGTGCATAAATATGAGTTCCTCTTCTTCAGGAGACCATTCCTGCAGCTGTGGCGAAAGTCTCGTCTCTAGTACTTTCCGGTACTAGTCTTGTTTCATCGTGTTTTCCACCACGTAGAGACGGCCTGTACCTTTGCCGGATACCACAGACCAGACCATGAATGACGGTGGGTGCTTGATGGTGGGCACAATGCAGTCGGGCTTGTATTTCTTCTTGGGACGTCTCCGAACAAACTTCGTTTTTTCTGTCAAAACTTGAAAAAATTGCGTTTGAGAAGCAGACTTGAAATCAACAAAAATTTTAGAAATGCTCATGTTTTTTAGTTTTTAATATTGATATTCAAGCAAAACAACACAAACATACCTTTTTTCAGTCTTCCACTCTCCAGTTTTTGTATTTGTGTCCCCATTTGAAACGTTTTTTATCATAGCCATAGTAAGCCTTGGCCTTCGAGCTGGTGTACTAACTACCAGTTTGTTTTCGACAAGTCTTCGACGAACTGTTCTTTCTGAAACACAGATTCCTTCATCTCTTATCTCCAGTGGTTTCTTTCTATTTACTAGTCAAATATCTTTCTATTTACTATATTATTTTACGATCAGTCCTAGGAGTAGTCACACGATGTCTTCCGCTGTGACCCTTACGCTTTGGATCCAAACTGTCTCTAGAAGCAATTTTCTGTTTTATATTTATTACAGAACCTCTTGATACTCCTACCATTGCTTCTATTTCATTTTGAGACATTTGTCCAGCCTTTAGGAGTCCAAATACGTAGCCTACTCGTTTTTGTGACAGATCAGCGTTTTTCCCCATCTAAAAATATATAATAGGCTTAATTATATCAATAACTTCACTGTATATGTTTATGATCTAAAAAATAATAAAAAAAAAGGATAGATCACTCACCTTTGCAATACAATTTCAGGTCAAAACCGTTTAGAGTTCAAATGTTCACAGATAGTATTTGAGGTTATAAAATGCACACTAGTTGACAGGACGCAATCCTGTCTAGAAATGGCGGATAGGTCGGTGTTGCCAACGTTAAAATAGCACAATACTGTTACCATAATTATTACGTCACCTAATAATGTGGCCGGGTACTTGTTTCCTGTAGGCAATCTGATTCCATCGGCATACTGCCAGATAATTTAATAATTTTAAGTATGGTTTAATCCATTTAACCTAACCACTATTTGGTTTTAAGGTTATTTTACAAGTACTACAAAGTTCAGTGAAGATGGACTGATTAGTCCGAAAACTTTTTGAACTTCATCCTTTTGGCTTTTTAAATGTTAAATTTTAATTAAATATACCAATTACAACAGAAGTGTTTTACTTCGATGTTCGAGATTTTTAACTATATGGTATACGGCTAACTTTTCAATATATCTTTATATAATTGTTTGAAATATAGTTTTTCCTAAATTATTAAAGTAATATCTCAATTATTTTGTAGGTAATCAAACCGGAAACGCCGCCTCCAAAACCATCGTCATCCATTTTAAGCTCATTCTATAAAACAAGTACAAAACCGGCGTCATCCGACGATTATGCTATCATGGATTTTGACAGCGGTCGTAACGAAAGAGACAAAGAAAACTCTGATTACGTCAACTATGCACCAGCAGTGTCCAGCAAAATTGATTCTAATCCTAAGAAAGGATCTTTATATTCATCAAGCGACTATGCGTTGATGCAACCTTCCACCAGAACAGCTGAGGTCACTGATAGACGAGAGAGCCTTGATACATCACCATTGATCGGTCATCTTTCCTTGATCGGCATTAAGGAAAGTCAGTCAATGTGCTTTCAACCCATTAAAGAAGATTCTGGATCTTCACCTGTGAACAAAGGTGGAAGAAAAATGGATGGTGAGTTTTTTTAAATGACTAGATAAATTGCAAGTTTCGGTGGATGATATATTTTTCTTTCATTTGTGTTGCGTGGACATGGTCAGTTTACTTTTATTTGGGGTGATTAAATATTTGTGTAATTGTGTCGATATATTGGCCGCGTTTATGGCAATTTGAACACTTTAGTTTAATCAAAATATACGAGAGGGTTTTCCAACCCAAGAGACCAAGTGTTATTTACAATCTTAATGATAATTACCCACAATTTCAGGTTAAAATACAGTCTTGATTTTGTTTAACTCATAACTCGTTTCTTACTTTCTGGTCCACGCTGCATAGATTAAATCACGTTAGCAATCACTAGGACAAACCTTTTGTCCACTTTCTTATTTGAAATTTTAGAAACAAATTCCTTATTGTATTTTGCACTGTATTAACAATTAACAACACTGGTCACAAAATTACAACTACCACAAAATAGTCACAATAAATTATGGTACTTGCTTATGGCAATAATTTTTTCGATCTTGCGCAATTGAAATTTTACCAAGCCTGATATGTAGGGGTAGGAGGGGTAATATCGCGTCGCTAATCAGAAACATTAAAGAAATTTACATTTTACACAATGTACAGTTGACAAATTGGTAAACTCTGCACAAATATGTTTGGTTTAAGATGTTATAAGATTTAAAAAAATAAATAAAACATATCTTACTAAAACATTGTACAAATACGCAACACGTGCTTTTCGCGGTATTGCACCACCCAGTGGGGTGGTTCAAAATGTCTTTAAGATTTTCGAAAAAAAAAAAATCTAACAACATCAGCATTGAAGGATGGTATACGGTTTATGCTAATGCCTTACGGCTGACGAAGACTTAGTTGTAGATTCAGTTTTAAAAATCTTAGATTTTCTTTGCCAGCTTGTTTCTTGTTTCTATTCAATATATGTTTCAAATGATAAGCTTCTGCAAAATGGAAAGCTGTTCGTCTCAACTTTCAAGGCGTAACTTCATAAAACAAGTTTCCCAATTTAATTATGTGATCTGCTAACTCTGATTAAATGATCACGTATTGTTGACTCCGGAATATTAAAATTACTAGCGGCTGTACGTATTTTAGCACCTGTATTAATTGCAGCTATATTAGCAGCGTTATTAAGCTGCTTAATTTACCAGAATTATCGGTGGGTCTTTCGTTTGTAGTTTCTTGCCATCTGAAATGAAAAGGAGAAGTTTTTTAAAATGTTTTTTCCTGAGATTTGGTGATAATAAAACAAAATAGTGAAACGAGGATCATCATTATTCATTAATACCTTACAATGTTTATTTTCTTTGTCAAAATTCAGGAAAAACATTACAAAAGTTGTCATTTGGGTGTTGTCTACATTGTTGCCAGCTTTCCCTAACACCACACACTTGATTACATTTCTATTGTGCGATTTATTGTACATATTTGGTGACTGCGCGGTATTACCCCTTCTTTCCCTAACTTACCATTACATCCGATAATACATTATAATTTTTTTTTTCAGATTCTTCAGACTACATGGAGTTATCCCTTTCAGCCTCTAGCAGCGAGTGCGTCTCTCCTGCCGCAAAAATTTCACGTCCAAATTCCGTGAACAGCGAGTCAGCCGTCAAATCGAATTTTTTAACCCGCGGCAATTCTGATAAATCGCGTCCTCCCTCTGTTTCTTCGGACACTTCGCGTAGTGCCACATCTCGACCAAGCTCCACATCTAGCGAACTTTGGTCGTCGTCTTCAACTCTAGTCAATTCGCGTCCCGAATCCGTAAACTCAGATCGAATCGAAGGTAACTGGACAAACAATCCTTCACAAAAGGACGCTAAACCAGAAGAAAAGACAGAAAAAAATAAACTGCATTACGCTAGTTTGGATCTGACAACGCAAGAGGAAGAAAATAGAAGTCCTAGAAATACCAAGGGATCCCAATGTTCGGAAGAAGCTTCTTCTAGTGTTCAGGGGGAACCCACTTTCGTTTATGCTGAAATCGATTTTGTAAAAAGCGAAGGATTAAAGCAGAATAGCAACAGCAACCAAAGCTTAGGGAATAATAATACAAAAGTTAAGAATTAGTTTTATAATTTTTTACTATTTTTTTACAATATTAGAGTAAATAAACATTTTATAACAATTTACAGGTATAAATATTTATACAGTATTCACTTGCCCTTCTGCATACTTCGGAGGAAGTAAACATTGTCACGTGATATATTTTTGTACAACTCCCACAAAATCAGTTAAATATGCTTTAAGCTTTGTTGCTATGGATAGCAATTGCGGTTCATATAAAGCTTTGTCGAGAAAGTTTTGCTGTAGCTACATTTTGGCAGCTGATGAGTTCGTTAACTTGTTTCATTACCATACTGTGTTCATTGTTGATTTTACTCTAACAAAATTCGGTAGTAAGAAATGTTTGGTTTTTTATGGCCATTAAGTAGAAAATAAATCGGATTTTTTTTTATTTTGACTCTGTGGTTTTACGGAATATACTGTTACTATAACTAAGCACAGACCTATTTCATAAGTAATATAATCAGCGATTATGATCAATGATTTTCCGATATCAGTGAAGGCTTGTTTGTGAAATATCGCTCATCTGCAGAGTAAACCTTACTAATCAAATACAAAATGTCAACAAATTATTTAAATTTAGATTTAAAACGTCACTGACAGAATTACTGCCAAATAACCTCCAAAAGACCAGAGTAATGGCCGAAGTTTATGTACTTCAGTCATTTCCAGAATTTGCTTGTTCTTTTCAATAATTTTGGTTTTCAATATTAGTAAAAAGTTTATTAAACTATGAGCCTATAATGTGCTTATAAAACAGTTTGACACAAAGTGAGTTAACCTAAAAATCAAAATTATTCTCAAGAACATCAATTCCAATCTTTAGAACATGTTTAAGCCCTAAAGTTGTTTAACGGCAAAAGGCAAGGGTATATACTCCGCCTCTGTCGTTAATTGTGCCACTATCCTCTTTTTAGCTCTTCCAGATAATAAGGCCATTGGCTACTATAAATACATTTGCATTAGTAGATTTTCTTGGATCTAGGCAACCAGCATAGTCTGCATCATTGTTAGCTTATTACCTTGATTTGTGTAGTTTATTTTTTTACTGGTAAGGCCACTTTGTAAAGCAAGACGGTATATTTCAGAGTCCATATATTCATTCTAGTCGCTTCTTTTAAGCAATTTTGCTGCTTAGTTTTCTTAAATTTTCTTATAAGAAATTTAAAGCTGTACAAAATGCATTAAATCTAATAGGCAAACTATTAATTACTGTGGAACAAACAGCACTATTAGTAATAGTTGTTTTTAAACATTTTAACTGTCTAACCAATAGCTTTATTGTTGATAAATGCTCTGCAACCATTGCATACTCATGTATGTTATATTTCATACAATTTTTGCCACAGTATCTCTCTAGTCTAGAGATTTCAGTCTTTTGTTCATGTGTTGTGATCAGTCTTGAGCAGATTTCGGCAGCATTTTTACATTTTATCAATTGTTGTATTTGGCCTTGATCTATAATCGATATCAAAACTACCTGTGCCTTTGAATTCTTGTCATCCCATTCTTTCCACTCACTGCTAGTTTGGCGGTCGAGTTCTGAACTGTTTCATTCACAACTGAAAGCAGTTTCTGTGCTGTAAACAAAATGGTTACACTAAATTTCCATAGCTGAAAAGTTGAGCCATTAGACTTGTTGATATTCCCAGAATCAATTTTCACATTCGAGGTTATTTTTGCACTGCATTAAATGTTTATTGTATAAACATCACTCTCACGACTTAAATGTGACACCAACTAAACTTTTTACCATCCGAACTCGACAAGTTAGTTTTTAAATCTCATAAATTTGGTGTCTGGGTACATAACCTGTTAAATAAAACAACCCGATGGTAAAAGTTTATTAAACAGTGAGCATAAGATTATTAAGAAAACATGTGTTTATAAAACAGTTTGACAAGAAGTGACATACTACAAATCAAAATTCAGAAGTTCATTAGGAGGAAATACATTAGTTCAGGAACTTACGCTAACACGTACTAGTGGTGTCACGCAAGCCTGTTGGTAACAATATTTTTTTGACAGTTTTTTTTTCAAATTTCGAATAAATAAGCAAGCATGATAAAGTTAAAAAATTTTACGACATAATGGCCATTAGCTAAAATTTTAGGACTACCGTATGTTTGCAGCCTAAAATCACTCCATTTATAGGACTAAACGCTATATTTCTACATAGCAGATATTTTATTAAGTAATTTTTTAATTTGTTGACGGAATCTATTGATAACATGCGCTTAATCGAAAACAGGAAATAGTGTAAACTATTTCCTTGTTTACTTTTCACATAATCAAATTGAACCGTCTTACTGCTGTATTTAACTAATTTTGAAAATCCATCAATCTCGTTAACCTGATAGCACATATTTTTATATTCTCTAAAGTGTTTATTTACCTATTTATTTTATTTTCCATCAGTCATTTTAATGAAAAAATTATTCAAAATGTTTGAAAAGTCGTTTTTATTAGGGTTTGTGCAAGGAAGCACATTGTACATAAGTAATCGGCACTGTATAGTCAAATTATATTTGAGACAAATAATATACCCGTAAATGATGCATAGAGACTAATGAAATACGTTGTATTCACTTATACAGTAATATCTTATACGATACTATGCCTATCTATATCTGTTTAGATAATTTACCTAGATTTTTGCCAACGGATTCGGTACAGTTAATTAGTGTTAAAGTCATTGAGGAAAACAGTGGTTTAGAGGTATGATGAATAAGGGTTGTTAAAATAAAGTTAGTCAAATTTATTCTACTACAGCGCCACATCATCAATTTCAGAGACAACCTGTCAAAATACCAAAGCAAAAGTCACTAGGAATACAGAATTGCCAACTTCATTTATGACTTCGGCTAATTATTAACACACTTTTATGAACTTGTTTATCGTTTTGGGTGGAATTTAAAATTGATTTTCCCAATAAGCTGAACTTTAAATTTTAAGCATAAGTTACAAAATTATTTGCAATTTCGCATAAATGTATCTGATCTGCATGCCTAAAATGTTGATACTGAATATATTTCGTACAATAACTTTTAGCACTGCATTATTGTATGTTTGCTTTTGATTCATTTGGCTTTGTGTCGAAAAACAGCTCAAAAGTCCTTTACTCTTGTAATAATCTTGGTCCTCAGCTGGCGAAGTCAATATCTGAGATATTGGAAGTCTTTTCTACGTCATCTAATTCCCTAATTCTTGGTCTAGCTCGTATTGGTGCTAATCACGTTGTACTTTGTTCTCTTCTCGTTAATAAGGACTACAACTTCCCTGTATTCTTCGAATAGTCTTCTTCATGAGACCTCATTTAATTTCAAAGTTTCTAGAATTCTCTCCGTGTCATTTTACTCTTGTTTTCATTTAGAACACGTTAATAAGTGTACTAGTGTTCACTTTATTTCTCGTGGTTTTATCACAATACAATATTTTTAGATGTTTGTTCTCTAGTTTTTTTTAATATCAGCCTAGATGCAAGTTTTTTACGAATCTTTTATCGAATTTTTGATAGATTTGTCTTAAATAGAATTTGGTTCGACATTTTTATTAAAATATAACAATTGTATATAAATTGAATTTTGACTTTTGTTTTTATTTATTTAGATATTGAGTAAAATATTGTGTTTGAGCTTTCAAACATTTTGATGTGTTCTTTTAACATTGTACATAAATAGAATGACTGATCTATTAGAATTTTTTAGGTAAAAATTGTACATAGATTCGTTGATTTTTTGTTAAAATTTTAACAAGTTTTTATATTGTATTTTTGTAGTTATAACCAGTAGACACAGAAGGTAAACTTATTCACTAGCATAATGTATTTATTATCATGTTTTTTATTTAATTAAACGCTAAAAATATATTTAGTATAATGGAATGTATACAGTGTGTTCGGAAAAGATCAACGTCGTGTAGAGCACTTTGTATATTTGGAACTCTAACGTTCTACAGGACGTGAATGTGTGTTGAATTAAACACTACCTCCATATGGTTCCTCGAGAAAAATTAAACTTACAAGGTGAAACGGTATTACTTAATATCCCTCAAAATGATGTATATACAACGGGTCGACAATTAAAGAAAACATCACTGTTTAGTTTGTTATTGTAATGGCTCACTTTGTAAATATTAGTCAGTTTTGAGGTAAAAGAAATTTTTGATGTTTCCTTACGCGTACTATAAAACGCGTTTAAGATATAAGAGTCCTTCAATGAAAAAGTTCTTTAATTTTCATTTTTAATGATTAAAATTAAAAGAAACAAATATATTTGTTCAGTACCAAGAGAAGAAAAGATAGTTGTTATCAAACATTAAATTCAACATGGTTCTAAAATGATTTTATTGTGGCACTTTTACGTTTTCTACTATCTTTAATAGGGATTAATCACAATTTTTGTTAATTTCCATTAAATATAGTACATGACCGTTAACCGCCAGTTGCACCGTTCTTGTAGTTAAACCAAATTCAAAAAGAAAATCAAATACGTTCTTTTTAAGTGATATATTATTTATATTTTCATGGTAACAGACTCCACATAGGTATAAAGACAAAAAGAAAGAGAGATATGTTCCATATTTCATGGAACATCATTCGTTTAATAAAAACAGAAAAATATCTTCTAAGGTTAAATAATTGAGGGAGAAATGGATAGAAAATTAAGGCAATCGATAGCAGTACCAAGCAAACACAAACAGATACTATCCTCAAATAAAATCGTCCCAGAAAGTAACTAAATCACTGAGAATACAATTTTAACGTCTTCTACATTGAAATGTACAAGGCTAGGTCCCAATTGGTAGCATAAATGATGCATATTTGATTAAATTATTCGAACCATTAGTTCTGAACAAGATATTTAAAATTTACAAGATGAACCGGCTGACATCCCACAAGGACGGAATGTGACATCACAAGCAAACAGTTTTCAGAAGGAAGAAATAAAGTGTTAGTGATGTTAGCGGAACCAAGTTATGTTAGTATCGAATGCCAAAAGTTC